ACTCGGGAGGCAGAGCCAGGAGGATCTCTGTGAGTTCGAGGCCAGCCTGGGCTACCAAGTGAGCTCCAGGAAAGGCGCAAAGCTACGCAGAGAAAACCTGTCTCAAAAAACCAAAAAAAAAAAAAAAAAAAAAAAAAAAAAACAACAACAACAACAAATTTCTATGACTTTTTCTAGGAGGAGGAGGAGTGGATATTGTGACTGAACGTAGGCCTTGTTGTCAGGGGTTCTTTCCACTTAACTAGATCCCTCTCCCAAGACCATTCTTGTTTTGTTTTGTTTTGGAACTCAGAGATCCGACTGCCTCTTTCTCCCAAGTGCTGGAATTAAAAGCATGTGCTACCACTACCCAGCAACCATTTTTTTCCTATGGAAAAAAATTCTGATTTTAAGTCCCAACTTTTGTAATTTTACTTTGTTTAGTGGGGGAGGGGTTCAAGATAGGATTTCTCTGTGTAGCCCTGGCTATCCTGGAACTTGCTTTGTAGACCACGCTGGCCTCAAACTCAGAGATCTGCCTGTCTCTGCTTTCCAAGTGCTGGGACTAAAGGCATGCACCACCACCACCACCACCACCACCACCACCACCAGGCATAATTTCACTTTTGTAAGCATGGTTTTCCTCAAGTTTGGGTCTCAGGAAACAGAAACTATCATTTATTGTTGTATCTGCTATACTAACGTGGTGTATTGTTTATAATAGTAGCTAACATCCTTTATGGTGGCCAGTTTCTTTGGCGTATACATGTGTTCTGTGATTATGTGCACGTGTCCACATGCACCTGCGCACACATAGAGAAGCCCAGAGTTGATCCTGAGTGTCTTCCTCCATCTCTCCTCTTAGTTTTAGACACAGGGTTCCTCACTGAAGCTGGAGCTCATTGATTTGGTGAAGCTAGCCAGTCTATGAGCAATAGGGATCCAGTGTCTCTGCCTCCCTGGCACTGGGGTCACAGAGTGCTGACCTCAGCTTTTATGGGTGCTGAGGATCTGAACTCAGGTCCTCATGCTTTTGTGGTAGGTACTTTTTCAGCCTCCAGAGCTGACATTTTAAATCATTAGGCTACACTAATTCTCAGTTAATATTTTCTTCCTTCCTTCCTTCCTTCCTTCCTTCCTTCCTTCCTTCCTTCCTTCCTTCCTTCCT